GTATTAAAGCGTATTTATTATACTATACACTTTAAATTGGTATTTGTGAGGGTACATAATGTAGTCCAACCTTGAAGGTCTTTTCTTTCCCGTGTATAGTCTTCTCCTTGGCAGGGAGTACGGTGGATGAGTCTAGATGGTGTCCCGTCGGCTGCGAGATCTGGTGCCCGTGGCTGTGTAGCCCTGATGTCATCTGAAGACAAATTATAAGAAAAGTTAAATCAATGTATCATAGTAACTGTGATGTAGAGATGGGCACTGGGAAAAAACCCAAAGGGAAAAAACCCAGGTTTTTTCCCATTTGGGAAAAAACCCGGTTTTTATGTGGGAAAAAACCCAATAGACGGGTATTTTGATTTATAATGATCTTATTCTATTTTTATTTTCAGAACTCAATAAATAGGTACTTTGTAATGCGTATATACCTACATTCACTCAAAAAAGTATCGGGAATGGATGATTTGTTTATGGTTCCAAATTCAAATTTTTGTTTTTATGTAGTTGTTAGATTGGCACAACTGTTTTCCATTTTGGCGCGGAGTTTGAGTTGCATCTGTTATTTATATTAAATACAGCGCTGGTTTCAGAAATATCATATATAATGTATATTGTGAATTTCATAATGGACACAAATATCGATCAAAGAGTTTGTCTTAAATTTTGCATCGCCAATGGAATTTCGTGTTCAGAGTCACTAAAAATGTTACAGAAAGCTTACGGTGAATCGACTTTATCAAAAACTCGTGCTTATGAGTGGTTCAAAGCGTTCAAAAGCGGTCGAGATGTGATGGAAGATTTGCCTCGCTCTGGTCTGCAACTGTAGTTAACATCGCAAAAGTGAAGGAAATAGTGACTGAAAATCCCCATTCAACTCTGAGAGAGATAGCCGCCGAACTTTCTGTATCTCACGAGTCGATCCGTACCATTTTAACTAATCTATACTATACATTAAAGGGTATGAAACATGTTGCTGCTCGACTAGTTCCAAAAGATCTAAATTTTCTCCAAAATCTCAATCGCATGAAAGTCGCTGAGGATATGCTAGAACGAGTCAGTTTGGACCCAACATTCATGAAACGCATTGTTACTGGTGACGAGACGTGGGTTTATGAGTTTGGCATGCAAACTAGTCAACAAGCTTCGGAGTGGCGCCTTCCAACTGAACCGAAACCGAAAAAACCACGCCAAAGTCGATCAAAAGTCAAAGTCATGTTGACTGTTTTCTTTGACTATCGCGCTGTTGTGCACTCTGAATTCTTACCGGAAGGTCTAACGGTAAATAAAGAATATTATTTGAGCTTTATGCGGCGTTGAAGAGAGCAAATTCTACGAAAAAGGCCAGATTTGTGGAAAGAAAATTCTTGGATTTTGCACCACGAGAAAGCGCCTTCGCACAAGGCTATCATTGGTGGCATCAAGGTGAACGAATTTTTGACCAAACACTCAACAAATACCATCCAGCAACCACCATATTCACCAGATATGGCTCCTGCTGACTTTTTTCTTTTTCCTAAACTCAAATTACCACTTCGTGGCACCCGTTTTCAATCGATAGAAGACGTAAAGGAGAATTCGCGGCGAGAACTAAACTCAATTCTGGAAGCAGCGTTTAAAAAATGTTTTGATGAATAGATTATTCGTTGGCGCAAGTGTATCGTCTCTAAAGGAGCATACTTTAACTCGTTGAGTACCGTCATTACAGACAATTAAAGAACAATAGGTTGCGGTCACCGGTGACAGTTTAAAGGTGATAAAATAAATTTGGATGAATAACAGACATTTTTTGTATTATTGATCTTTTCTCGGTACTTTCTTGACAGAGTAGTACTTAGCACCAGCGTGTATAAGGCACTAGCTGTTGCCTGTTATTTGAAACGTTAAAATGTGTAGTCTATTTCAAGGACTAAAACATAACCAGCATATTTATTACAATACCATAAAGACGTCTTCTTGTTTTATAATAAGTTTTTACTGCGCTCTGTGATGGAATGTTAACAGCAGAAAAATACCTATTAAACTTTAAAGAATGTTTGACTAAAATAATATAATTAAAACAACGAGAGATACTCTTACTAACAATTATTTATTATACTTTACAAGAGTTACAAAACTGTAAATTTATCGGTAAATTTCGGTAAAAATAGTAGGTATCAAAGTCCGTAAGAGTAGCAGTTGTTGTCAATTCAAAGGATTAGGTAACCAAAAGTCCACCAAACAAATCCAAGTCGTCAATTAAACCAACAAATTAACACGAGTGCGCACAGTATGAAGCCGAAACAACGTGTGAGATAGATAGATTACCAACGCGCTCGCCCCTCTACTACCTGCTTCCCTGCCCCTCTACCCGCTCACGTATTTTCGGGTTACCTGTCGCTAAGAGCGGGGGATCACACACAAACAGACAGGATTTTTGTTTAATTTCATTTTATTTCATTTGATAGTAGGGACCTACTTAAGGATATTAAGAACGTTATTACTGCAATAAACAAAGTTAGATTAGCTCTAACTTGTTGTAATAGTTCTTAAATAGTACGTACTATATGATATGTACATAATCTACACATTACTTATTTGTTAAATGTGTCAAATATGAAAAAACCCGAATATTTTCCCATTCGGGAATTTTCCCCGGGTTTTTTCCCGGTTTTTTCCCATAATTGGGTTTTTTCCGGGTAAAATCCCATCTCTACTGTGATGCGAGCGATTTAACGATGAATTGTATTTATTTTTGCATACAACATGTCGAATAAATAAGTACATATGTATAATATGCACCCGGAGACGCAGACTGCACTCACTTCAGGTATGTTTAATAAAAGACAAGCCTCATATCAGATTCCGAACAGTATTCCATAATACGCATTATTATTAAGCCTTTGACTGCCGACAGAAAACTGCTGAAGGCAAATCCTCCGCCGGTGCCCCTACGCGGCGGTGAACGTGTTAAGAAAAATATCAATAATACTTTTGGCTCAACTGCGTTTTGAAAACTCTAGATAATGGGCAATATCCTAGTGCCTTGTGAATACTCGATCAACAACGAACTATACATGCAGTCTTACAACGAAATCTCACTTTATGACTAATAAACTTTTAAATATACAACAGATAGGTACATAAAATATTTTTTAAACATAAATAAATATACGTTTTCAAGTGTTACATCAAAAATAGCCAAACTGTGTATAAGTATGTCCCGAAAAAAGAAAATATGAACAGGATAAACTTATTAAATATCATTTCCAGTATGGGAGAGCCATGCTTCGGCACGAATGGGCCGGCTCGACCGGAGTGATACCACGGGTTCACAGAAAACCGACGTGAAGCAACGCTTGCGTTGTGTTTCGTCGTGCGAGCGAGGTTACCGGAGGCCCAATTACCCCCCCTTCCCCAATCCCCGAATCCCCAACGATCCTCAAACTCCTAATCCCCAAAAGGCCGGCAACGTACTTGTAACGCCTCTGGTGTTCCAGGTGTCCATGGGCGACGCCGATTGCTTACCATCAGGTGATCCGTCTGCTCGCCATAAAAAAAAATTCGTAATATGGCTGCCATATATTAATAAATGGTTTCTCTTTCTTTTTTCTTTTTATGTACAACGTATGAAGTCTAGAATGTAAATTTAATAGGATTGCATTGTGGCATTGTATCAACAATGAAGATGATGAATTTAACAAGAATTTATCATAATTATTATAATAAGGGTAAGTCCCTTTTGTCCCGTATTAATTTTAATTTTAACTACGAGAACATTTTTATGCATGTATCTAAATTAGAAGTAATTTTATCCGCCTGATAAGATACTATGTATTAACGTAGCTTCCGAGAAATAGAGATCATGGCATCGTATTGCTTATTTGCTTGTCGTTAATTTGTATGTAGTACGTAAAGTATTTGAAATACTAAAATAAATACATACCTACATAGAACAAATTAATATCTATTAGTTTCAGTAACCACAGAGTAAGAATCAGACCAGGCAATCATTTGAACGCGAAGCAAACCACAGTATAAAAAATAAATTTAAAAAATGTTAATTAAAAGTTACCAAGAATATAAAAAAAGAACTATCACTTAAAATTCACACACCAATTCACTCAAAACAAAAATCTTAACCAAAAAAGCGCGCGTAACACAGATCTCGTGTCTGTCATAGCGAACGATTTAAAACAAACAACAATGAATGAATGAGTAATAAATAAATCATTCACTCCGGTTATACGTGCGTCTAGTAATACCGAGACTGGTGGATAATACTGACAAACATAATCAACACAATGGGAAGGTGATAAGCCTCAGTTATCGTGTGCACTATGATGTAACAACATTCTTCATCTACGTAAAATCACTATAAACAAAGGATAGCATCTAAGAAAATGATTTATGTAATCAGATGACAAATCGATGAAGATTTTGAACGTGTACCTAAACACGTAACCGTTTAAATTAAAAATATTTTTAGTACGTCCGTGAGTCACTGCAGGGTGCCACCTGAAAACCAGCGTTGGGCAGAAACGTCCGAGTCTTGGGGCGTTTCGCACCACGAGTTATTCGAACCGCGGTCCGAATCGCCCAAGTACTATTTTTGAATAGGTCGATTCACACCACAGTGGTTGCAGCGGTGCGAATAGCCCAAGGTATCTTTTGGAATGGGTCGATTCGGACCACTGAGCGAAAATACTTAATAATCATATCGCGTATCTTGATTTCAACTCATAGAAATAATTAAACATTTCTAATCATTTGGACAGACGATTAGAAAAGTGGTAAGTGTAAAAAAATATGCGATTTAAAAATCATGTTTAATATACAGTCAGTTTCATCAACTACATCTCTTCTGTCCGACTACACCTATCCAAAATTAGAAATGTCTTTTCCCTATACTGTGGTCCGAATCAACCCATTACCAAAAGTTCTTGGGCGATTCGAACCGCGGTGCGAAAGGACACATTCAAAAAGAGCTTTTGGCGATTCATACCGCGGTTCGAACCGGTCATGGTGCGAAACGACTATACACCCAAACGTCCAACTATATGCTGAGGTGGAGGCCCTTTTGGCATGAGCACGCGCAAATTAATATTATTATTTTGTTTATTAGACTTTTTTTTTGTCTATTCAAAATTTTGTTATCATCGTATTATTATTTTGTTATATTGTGATGTTTTCTGTTCTGATCTCTATTCTTGTAAGTTT